ATATTTATGAAGATAAATGACAACTATTTAGATATAGCATATCTTTTTTCAAACTTAATTGAAATCATTAATTTATAATTTAGTTTCTAATATGTTCTACAGTGTGACAATTTGGGTGAGTGCAGATTCATATCTTTAAGTCTTGACTTTGTTTTATGATATATGTACACTGAGGTAAGACATGTATATAAAGAACACCCTAAAAATCAATAAACTGTAGAAAATATATAGGGACGAAATAAATTTCCCAGTGACCGGTAATAAATATTAAAATAAAGAAAAAGAAAATAACACTTGTAAAAAATGTAAAGACTTTCCTTGTTTTCCTAAGACGTTTTAAACAATTCAAACTTCTAGCTATCAACGTTACCTGGGGCTCGTAACATAAAGCTTGCTAAGTTTTTGACTTAAGTAGGGTCGTAAGTACGTTTTAGGCACAATCTTAGGACCTGTCTAAGTACTACTTAAGTATGTCTTAAACCGTAACATAAAGCGAACTAAGCTAGGTCCTAGCTAAGTCAAACTTATGTTAAAAATATTTCATATGAGTCAACCTATGGTTTTTGATTTTATATAGATATATTGCTAAAAGTGATTCGGTTAGGCTTTTAATTCATTACATATTGAAGTTGACGTCCTTGCCTGTTGGTTTAAGTTATGTTAGATTAGATTTCGTATTAAAATTATAATTATGTTATAAATTAATCGGAATGTTTGGAAACAAATACTGCACGGTCAGAAAGTGGCGATTTGTGGTTCATTGTAAATGTACGACAATTGTTTTATCACCTGAGATGTTTTCAGTTTACCTTTTGTAACTCTTTTGTTTTGACAAATGTTCACTTACCCTGTTATTATCGCAGGCAAGAAAAGATAATTGACTGTCTATCTACTTAAAATTGAAACTGCAAAGAGTTCAATACATGTTGAATCCCCGCTATGTATCATGCATGTCAGAAGCAAAAACTGCAGAAGTTTTATGATATACTCATTTGCAATTAAATCAAGGATACAAAAAAAAAAATCGGGATATTTTTTTCGTATGTCTCCACTTATCAGCAATTCTCTCTCTCTCTCTCTCTCTCGAACTGAAGTGAGCCCTGTCTAAATCCGCACTTGTCGCGTTCTACAGATACTTTTTCATAATATCATTGTTACTGTCATCATCCTCTTTCTTTTCTGTTTTTAACAAACCATTTCAACTCATTTTTTCAAAGCGAACATACAGATTCATGGTTTATTACTGTGTTCAATTTATTTCTATAACCGAGGTCCCACTAATTTCAGACGTATCCCTAAAATTTAATTTTGTATTTACATGTATGCTGTGTTGGGAGTGATACTGGCATCAGTGATCAGCCCCCCCCCCCCCCCAACGAAAAAATAAAATTCTTAAATCTGCGTCAAATAGAGATAATTATTTTCTTTAATGTATAATATGAATAGAGGAGTGTTTTAACATCGAAAAGTCAACATTAAATAATTCTAAATATATGTACACGAAAGTTAAGATATACTTAAGTCACCTCTACCGGCCGCCTAAGTTTTGCTAAGATTACTAAATCTTAGCACGCTTCTAGTTACGGTCTTAAGTTTTAGACTGTACTTAAGTCCTACTTAAGCACGGTCTTAGACTTAAGTAGCCTTTATGTTACGACCCCCTGATGGTTATGTCCAAAAATTACACCACAATACTGATAGAGGAAACTATTGAAGGAGTTTGAAAGAACATCGCATTGTAGTTGCATACAAAAAATATAAAAGCGTGTAAAGTGAACTATTCAGAGATGGTTCTAACAGTTTTTAAGTATTTCTCATTTTCTCGTCTTGCGCAAGATTGTCTGTATAAAGTTTGTAAAATGGAAAAACTGAAAATTGTCCCCGGCCACAAATATCAAGATGTTCGCTTAGATTAATTCTTTTTTTATTCATGCTGGTAAATGTATTGTTTGTATCTGCGGACACGTGTACGTAGTGTGGTTCTAGTTTACCTTATATAGAATTGTTCACATCCTTCGCATGTAATAGAGTAAATTACGTATTTGGACTCGCATGACATGTCTCTTTTTTTTGAGTGGCGGAACAGTTAGTCCGTCTATACAAAAAAAATTCTGCCACATTATTTCCTATAGTTCGTAGACTAAATCAAAAGTCGTGCGCACTATTAGCAATTGTAACAATGCCCTGTTATGAATAGAAATCTTGAAACATCAAACCCGTAAACTCAAGGAGAAAGTGAAATAAACATTTGCAGAGGAACACGGAATTTTTGTACCGATAACTTGCATTATATGACTGGACTTTGACATAGAGACTCTCCTTTATTTCTTCTGTTGTTTATTCCGAACTTAAAAAGTTGGGGTAGTCTGTAGTTAATAACTACCGAAGAGCTGTGCATCCATACGTACGTCCGTACGGTTAACTTGGAGTACCGATACGCTACATGTATCCGCCATATCTTAAATACTCCAGAATACGTGTAAAGGATTATGAGACCTTCATTTACCTTTTTTTGAGTTGTCGTTGCGCACTTTCTATATTATGCTTTCATAGGATTTGGGGAATTTTATTAAAACATGGACGCTACAATTGTTTCTATTGGTATCTATAACTTATCCGCAACTCCTTCTATACCACTGAAAAAAAACTTTATTGCAACTTTAATATAAAGTATCTGATGTCATTGTACCTCCTATTCAACATTTTGAGTAAACATTCACGTGGACTTTAGTATTCTCAAAAAATCGATTTCCAATCTACTTCTGTGGGATTGGGGAGTGATTTGTGAGCTCAGTGCTCATAGTATTATTTTTTTAGTGTTTCTATAGGTGGGCATGCTGAAAAAATGTAATTAAAACACTGATTGTATGTACCAAATTTAATGCAAACGAAATCACAGAAAACTACGATATTTAAAATACTCTTCTTTTTGAATTTTTAGAAGAGTTTGATATGCATTTCCAAAACTAAGAATAAATTTTGGTTCAAATAAAATACACACATTAATCACTATCATAAACAGAAGCATTCTAAATCTTTCTAAAAATAAGAAACATTCTTCAAAATTTAGAAAATAAACCGCTAAAAAAATCACAGTTCCAGCAAAATACATTTATAAGCATATATTATTTTTTTAAAATAAAAAGTACATAAATATTTTAATAAAGTTTTTAATAGGAAACAAGACACCTGCTTAAAAGTCAACTGAGCATCATGTAAGAACTTTTAAAAATTGAATTTGGTTCGTGTATTAAACCAGAGACCATGACATTCTCAATTTTGAAAAAGATCACATTGCTTATTATAACTTTACACGTAACATGCTTAGTTTTGTTTTTTTATACTCACAGGTAGAGCAGGGACACAAAAATATAATTACACTAATCAGTAATAATCAACAATATTAAGTAGTGATCCAACCCCACAGGAACCCTTTGCCCTCGGAACACATATTTAAAAATTCGGAAAAGACACACTTGCTCATCATAAATGTTTGATTATTACATGTATCAGGGAGTAGATTTCAATTCATTAATTCATGTCTAGTATGCAATTATTAAATCCCAACCTCTACCGTACCAATGAGTAAATTGCAAGTACCTTTAAATTATAAAGAAGCACGTTTGCTCATTATAACCATATAGGTTGTTCATCAGCTTAATATCCGGGACTAGAGGAGTAGAAATTCACACAATAAATGACTTCTCATTATATAGTTTTATCTTTTCAATAGAGCCTCACACTAACATCAGAACCCCTGTCCCTTGAGCCATGAAATTCATAATTTTGAAAGAAGCACCCTTGCTCATCGTAACAATGAATGTAGTTAGTTTGTTTAAAACCCATCTTTATAGCTCCTCCCTACTAACAAAACCCATAACTCTGGGGCCATGATATTCACAATTTTAGAAGATGCACCCTTGCTCATCGTTACTACATACAATGTATGTAGTTGGTCTGTATACCAATAATAGTCAGGAGCATATAGGAGAAGATTTTCAAAGAATTAATGCATTTTATCTTTATACATGTACTCTATCAAGTCCCGCTTTAACACGAGACCCCCGACCCTGGGGCCATTTAATTACCAATTTTTAAAGAGAAACCTTTGCTCATAATATCTATGTATGTAGTTAGTTTGTTTAACACCAAGAGCAGAGAAACAGATAGCTATAGGTCACCCCAGTTGACCTAAAACATATTACAATGTAGCATGCATGGAATACACAGAAAACTTGCTAGTAAAAATAAAGGAAAGAAAAATGACCAAATTAAAAAAACATCAAGATAAGTTATGTAAATATAATCTTTTGGGAACTGCAAACAATCAAACAATTAGCTGTCCAGAATAACATTATATGGAATAAATCTTTACACATCCGCTATTTTCCTAAGCTAAAATACAAAACAGAGATTATACAAATGATATTCATCATTGACAATTGAAGAAAATATATTGTTCCATCTAACTATAAATATAGTTTCTTTCCTCCAGAAGGTTCATAGTCACTTTTCTTCACAATGATGTTTTATTTGAATTTTCATCCTCAATTAATTATTAGTCATTATTGTTTTCTATGTACCGAATCTTTTCAGAAAGACAAACACGTCTAATCAAGAGAAAGCTCACATTGTTTACAATATCAATCTATTGAGACAAAATAACATAAATAAACATATTAAAATCAACGAATTACATAATTTCGGCAATTATGTCACTCGCTAATCAACTTTAATCACCTATATACATGTATCATAAAACTTTTAGCAAAAAATAGAAGCAATTAACATCAAAGGATTACTTAACCAATTAAAATATCAATGTCTTGAATATTTTTGCGTAGGCATGTATTTGACGAGAAATAAAAAAAACATTGAAAAATTATTATGCCATTTTTTTTGTTTTTATTCATGTCTGTGTTATATCTCAGACAAAAAATATATCCCGAAAAAATAGCATATTTTTTCAAAACAATTATGTGGCTTAAAATCTTTTTTAAGCAAATTAATTTCAAAATCGAATCAAAATAGAAATATTTTTATATATGTATTACAATGTAACAAAATACTTCAATGTAGTAATGGTATAAAATCACGTAAATGGTATATCTTCATAAATTTTCGCTTAGAATTTACTTATAACTACATTTAATATTAAAAAAACAATTTAAAAATATAACAATAAAACACACACAGTTCTTAAAAAGTCCACTTCCTCCTTACTTTTTAACTCACCATTCTTGAATACTTCCCGTACAGAATTATCCACAAATCAACAGCATGTTTGTTTTCTAGCTTCAATTCCCCATCTGGAAATTTTTCGATCAACTCTAGGATGTTGATTTTCTTTTCTTTCGGGATTAAGACATCGTATGGTGGATGAATACAGAAATTTTGCAAGGTTTTCTTTAATCTGTAAAACAACAATTTAAAAATGACCTTATTGAATTACATTTACATATGTGTTCCACTCAGATATTACATTTTTGTTGCTTAAAATATAGATATACATCTAAAGATATAAAACATTTCTAAACGCATATAACGTCACTGTCAAAATACTCAAAAAATTCAATCAGCATGGCGGTTTTTAGAAGATATTTTCTTTGGAGAGTTTTTTTACAGCATGGTTTTTTTCTCACTATAATTCTTCATTTAATATTTATTTTTTTTTTCTGTTGAAAATTCCTATGATTTGGAAGAGGTAAAAATGCAAGAGAAAAAAATAAGATTTTTTTATTTTTAAAATAATTTTATTTTTCCGATTTTTTTTAAATATGATATTCAATATATCAATTAACTGGAGATACAGTGAGCAATGCGCTCATTTAATGATATGTCTGAAACTATCCTTGGCTAAATACATTTTAATTATTTTATCATGCATTTGATAAAAAAAAAAGAAGCACTGACATTTGAGATATACGAGAATCCATGTAATATGTTGTTTTTATGCTTTGCTGGTAGACATTTAATTATTTATTTATCGCTATTTGTTATCTTCATCTTTATATATTTACATTTGCAAATGTTTTCCTTTATATAACACTAGTGAAAGCAATGCGTATGTATAACTGTATAAATACAGGTACATTGTACGGGTTCAAGAGGTCATAGATGTGCGTTTGGATAAACGTTCGACATAATATCTCTGTGACGTCATAAAGGGTCGAAGCGCGTTTAGTAGATTACATACATGCCGTTGGGTTTGAAAAACAACACATTTCGCACGTTAAAAGTAACAATCAAAAGTAACGATCAGGCAATTTTAAAGTGTGAATAAGTCACAAATGTAAATATAAGTAATAAGGTATCATTTTTGAGTTTTATTTGGATGTAAAACGGGTTGGTCAAGACATCAAACCCCATAAATAATTAGCATTTTGTATTTTTTTTTTCAATTTTTTTAAAATTCCAAGAAAATTCTTGACAACTTGAAATCACAGAATTTAACCAAAATCAATAACATAAAAACCCGAAACATAAAAACCTACGATTTCATTAACAACCATTTCCTAAAAGTAACGTGATAATAAGACCCAGGCTTTGTGACATCATCGACAGAGACTTCTAAACAGAACTTCTAAATTAACTTATCTTATCATTCAGTCATTTGACCATTGCAAAATAAGTTTGTAAAAACATCATACTGATTGTACACACAAGTACTATGTATTTAATATTGAAAAGATGCTCGATTTTCTAATTGAAAATATCTGAATCTACATGTAGTATGTGATTTTTGAAAATCAAACAATCTATTGGAAATCCCAAAAAGTACCGATATTGCCCTGGTATTAGCACACCTATTTTTTATTCACATGAAGCAAAACTGGTTGTATAATTTATACGTGTAAAGAAATAAACTATTGTTGTAACCTTAAAATCGACAATTAGATTGATCAACGAATTGTCATTTGACTATTTCCATTCGTATGTCTATTCGATTTATATCCTGGTGAACGTGAGTTAAATGTTACAACAAAGCCTAACACATCTGTTTCATTTTTGAACATTTTACTAGAAAGAAAATTGAGGGTTATCTACATCTAACAACAAAACTTTATTTTTAAAAAAACGTGATTACAGGTAATTTAACTTTTCTATCGTCGACTTCTTACTTATAATGGAGTCTTAACTTAATTTTGATTTGTCTCAACTATTTTTTTATGCAAATGTCACTGTTTAAAGCTTTGTTTATAAATGACTCATGCATCACCTTACAAAAACCTATGCTGAAGCACACATTTGAATTGACAAAATTTTGCTTTTCAAAGTTGAGCAAAATAAAGTTAAATTGGTAAAAGTAAAATACTGAAATTCCAGACGGAGATATTTTCATTAGAACTATTTTTCCATTTTACATCTCCTTACCTGCATTGTTGCAATGCTACTGAATTTGAGCAACTTTATCCGAATGCAGATAATTTACATTTCCCAATACCCCAATGCAGGATTACCATTACTATGCAGTATGAATGCAGGCTCTGTCAGGTATTGTGCATTATAATGTCTATCACTGTCACGTCAGTCAATGAAGGCATTGGCCGACCTTACATCAATCAGTCAATGCAGGCATTGGCCGACTGCACAGTCAGTCAATGCGGGCATTGGCCGACTGCACATCAGTCAGTCAATGCAGGCATTGACCTTACATCAGTCAGTCAATGCAGGCATTGGCCTACTGCACAGTCAGTCAATGCGGGCATTGGCCGACTGCACATCAGTCAGTCAATGCAGGCATTGACCTTACATCAGTCAGTCAATGCAGGCATTGGCCTACTGCGCAGTCAGTCAATGTAGGCATTGGCCGACTGCACATCAGTCAGTCAATGCAGGCATTGGCCTACTGCGCAGTCAGTCAATGCAGGCATTGGCCGACTGCACAGTGAGTCAATGCAGGCATTGGCCGACTGCACAGTGAGTCAATGCAGGCATTGGCCGACTGCACATCAGTCAGTCAATGCAGGCATTGGCCGACTGCACATCAGTCAGTCAATGCAGGCATCGGCCGACTCCATAATCAGTCAATACACCTCATTCTTCTTCACCGTAGATTTTAAATCCCCAGGCTTGGCTGACTTTGACAAACTGTTCTATAAAAAATGGCTGTTCGATTGTTAATAATTATCATGTCAAGAATATGTATACTCAGTAATGATAAACAATATCATTTTAATTTGAAATTGATAAATATAAAATAATAGGAGGCCAGATAATTTTAAAACCATAAAGCGTCGCAATGGACATAAGAAAGGTAAACGTGCATAAGGTGAAAGTTGGTCTTTTTTTTTTTTTTTTTTACAAAAGTGTTATTCATTTTATAAATACTATAGAAGCCAGCATAAAAATGATTTTGGCTGTTAATTGACAACAAAGTACTAAGTGTTCTAATTAACTGAGTAAAATTCTCACTGCGGGGAATTTGGTGAAGTTCCAACATGACTGAAACTGATCTAACAAAACAAATTCACTTGATATATTATGCACATGTGCACATGTATGTATAATGGTATAAATATTTTCCTAAAGTATATGAACAGTAGCAAATAAAGTGGCACACTTAGTCGTGCATATGAGTTATTCATTTAATGTCATATATTATAAAGCGTTTTCTTGATCCTCTATCTTTTTCTTTTCCTTTGGTCTGTATTGTAGTTTTTAACCCTGTATACCTGAAAAAGATATGCATGCAGTATTAAAGTAAACTTCTTTTTAAAATAATCGAGAATTACCGTTTATTTTTTACATTTCCTTTCCAATTTTTTTTTCAAATATTTCATTTAATTTAACTCTGTTTATGATTACAATAGTTCACAAATAGTTTAAACTTATTTCTTCAAATGAAAAGACTGTAAGAATATGATGGCAATATATTCTGTAAGGCAGATTAACTATGCATTCTCAAGCCTTCACAAGACTGAATAATTTATTTTCCGGATAACCACAGGCATGTCATGTTCTAAATTTTGAATTTACCAGGTGGGAGTAAATACAAAATTTAGAACACGACAACTACTTTTTTAAAAAAAATCTCCAGAACCCCCCCCCCCTCCTTCTTTTCAGAATTGAATGAATATTCTATCCCTGTCATTCAAACAAATACAAACAAACCAAAAAAAAAAGAAACATAATCTTACCAGAGTTTTCTTTTTTTTGATTTTTTCACTATTCACTTTCATCTGTATATTACTGGTTTGTAATGCACTAATGGACGAGTTTACATGTCCATCCTGACAAGGAGAAGGTTTTAAAACTGAAATAAATAATTATTATCCTCAATTTTTTTAATTGTGAAGGAAAAATAGATTGAAATTACTCTGATTGTAGATATCTATTTTAATTCTTCATAAATTAAAATTTCTTGCGATGCACCATCTTTTGAACGCCTCTGTATTTAAAAGTGAAAGTAGGTATTAAGACCGGGTATTAATCATGTATAAAAAACATTCGGCCGTCTAAATGTAAGTTTTATGTTATTTGTAAGTAAACACTTTCATCTATAACTGTTTTATGAACAGACATACAAACTACTTACCACGAAGAACGATATACAGTCTGTAGGCCTTACGTTACACTCAATCATCGGCCCCTCTGCTGTAGGCTGGTCAGCTATTTCGATGCCTTGATTGGTAAAACGTAACATGTGCACTTGTAATACACACAACCTTTGGTAACTGGAAATACGTCCTTTTTATCGTTGAATTTTAAAAAGATCATCTTAACCCCTTGGCTTATTAACGTTTCGCGGAATTTAGTTTCTGTAATATTGTGACGTCATATAAGTACGTAGTGCATCACCCAACAGTTAGGCCTGTTTGAAGACTGATCATTCACACAGCAAAATAATATGTGGGCGATTAAAAAAGTATGGAGTTTTTATTATGCAGTGGAAAAACACCAGTTGTGGTCTTCTTGAAGCAAAGCTTCGTCCAGTGTATCTTTATCCTATAGTATGCGTTTTCAAGACGGAAAGTTCCAGCTGCAGATTTAAGACACATTGAAGGTTTGTACAAAGTAGCCTACCATGCTTTTATTTAAATTATGCAACTATATTGTGTTTATTTGGCAAATGTTTCAATTATTATTCAAAATAAATTTCTAGCGTAGAAAAAAAAGAAATAAAGTCGTAGAAATGTTTGCAAATTATGGCGTGTGTTTAGAAATCTTTATGGTTGTACCCCTTAATTATTTGGTCAGATAAGCTTTTTACTCCATTCCCCACTCTCACTATTTCGGCTGTTGTGATTTTTTTCCCAGAAAAATAATGCATGCAGTGGCAAAAGTTACAAAGTTCATGTTTGTTTTGTCTAGGGATTTTTAAATACATGTCTTATTTTTTTTCTTAACAGTGTTGAGTGACACTCAGATTGAATCTACAGCAATATAAAACTACAGTCTGTGATGATATCC